ATAAGTGCCCTATTTGCAAAGCTATCACTGAGAAATGGAGAAGGGGCTTCATGCTGCTTTTGGTGTTGAAATGATGCTGAAACCAGTCTGACTCGTCAACCCCAAAGTTAAACATCATGAGGGTGTGATAAAGATATGGTAAAACAAATGATACTACTGCTAACTTATCCAAAGCTGCTGAGCTGACATAGCCTGGAGACACCTGACTGATAGTCAATCACTTTATTACTATGAAAGCCCAGTCCCAAATTCTAAGGGTAAGGTCTTCTAACCTCTTCTTAGAGTATGGTAAAACTGGTAAAGGAACAAACAAACACTACTACTGATAACTTATCTAAAGCTGCTGAGCTGACACAGCCTGGAGACATCTGACTGACAGTCAATCACTTTACTACTATAAAAGACCAGTCCCAAATTTTAAGGGTAGGGTCTTCTAACATACCTCTTCTTGGAGTGTATGCATGAGGATTCCTCCCTTGAGTGGGGATGCCCCTCAAGGTTACTCCTTGAGGCTGAGCAAAAGAGATTTGCCCACAGTCATTGGTATGGGTGAGTAACACCAATCTCTACTTAATAATTGTTTTTCTAGCTTTAATACAATTGCTTTAATACTGCTTCAATATTGCTCTAGACTGCCAGTTGTTATTCCTTCTATACTGTGTAGTAAATAATTCTGATTAAAACCTTTTTGTTTAATAATTCTAATAAATCATATAGATTTATATAAATATATCTGGTTTGCCATCCTTAATCCCTGCAGGACAAAGTTGTACAAAGGTTCAATTACATCCATATAATCCTTTAGACATAAACCATTGACAAAGTCTGGGGCTAAGATTGGATCCAGCCACACCAGGCTCCTCTCTGAGGAGTTTAGAAAGCAAGAGGGTTCTTTCTGCACCTCGGGACTCAGCAGAAGAGCTTCTCTAACAAACTTTGTCTGAAGCTCCCACTTTGCCTGCAACAATTTCTTAGGCTTGTATTGCAGTGCATAAAATCTGCTTGAAATAAAGTAACAGCAATTTTGAGAGGCCTGCTATATCTCATCACTTCTCTTGACACAAATGATATATTTATTTATTTAATTAATTCCAACTAATACTTTTTTTTAATTTCAGACGTCTGAGGTATTCATATTCTAGGGAAAAATTCTGACTTTCAAACCACTGCAGACAGATTTCCTTCTCTGTTCAAGAAAAGTACAAAAGGAATAATTTCATTCTTTAAAAGCAACTAACCAAAAAGCGTCATGAACAGGAAGCTGAGTGGGTAGGACAGTCTGCTTTTAAAAATAACTTCTCTTTTCCACCCAGTGATAATTTTCATTTTATGCCTGAACCCAAAATAATAACTCCAGTTTATGAAGGTGCTCTTTCCTGGGCTCATTTGCTCACATCACTACCATCACTGCTGAAAAGAGATGATATTACGGTCACAAATGTAAAGTAATGTATGCATGGTATTATTAATGAGATAATGAATAAGGGTCAAATCTTTATCTCAGACACCACACACACAGTCAAAACAAGAAGACTTACCAGCTTCTAAATTAACATAAATTTTTCTAGGCAAAAAGCCTGAATGTTTGAAAACTGGTTGCTCACATCTATTTAAGTAAAAATAGCCTAAACTATGGACCTGTACTCCAAGAGTAAAGGTATTAGAATTTTCAGTTACTTTGGCATACACCAGCTTTTTTTTCCTCTCCAAGAAAGCATAAAATCACACCCTCTTAATTATTCAAATGAGAACACAGTGAAGAAAGGAAGTTACATGACTATTTCCACTGAAGAGAAAACAATTACACTTAATTAAATTAAAAAGTTAATGTTACTGGTATTTTCTTTAAAAAATCTTGGTTAATGTGAAATCCAAGGCCATTCAAAACTTCTTTTGATTTAAATACCATCATTGACCTTTCATATGTACCATGGCTGAAATGTAAACCTGAAAGGTCATGTAGAAATTCTCCTTTTATGTTGTCTTCTTTGGAAACTATCAGTCTGTGCTTCAAGAAACAGTAAGAAATATCAGCCAATTTCATCTGAAGAATGCACATAACTATATTTACAAGTAGCAGGAGTACAAAATAGCAGTTATGATTCTGAAATTGTGCCTCTTTGAGGAGTCACAGTCATCATTATTCCAACTGAGACTTTCTTAATTTAGCTCAACTAAAGGCTATAAGTTTATTGTTAACAGACAAAGAAAAGATTTACAAGTATTTCCACTTAAAAACCAATACAAAAAGTATCCTGGTGTTCTTATTAAAAGTAAATTTTGCACTTGTGTGGTTTGGCTTAAAGCACAAAATGTAACGAAGATACAGACATGTGCATGGATGTGTGTTTCTGTGGTTAGTGTTTTGATTTGGCTGAACTGCCAGAACTGCAAATCAGTTCTCCAAAATTCTGCAAGCTTTGCTTACCTCTGAGACAAGGGCTCTACATACTTAACACAATCAGGCTCTGCTTTTTTTGTCTGCTAGGAAGCAAACTCTTTTAAGGTTACAGAAATGAAGCAGTCAAAAATAAAGTAGGTTCTGTGCAACCAACACAATTTCCCCCAAGATTCATACTAATCTGCTGTTGACATCAGTATACATTGTATGTACTCTTGTAATTTTCAGGTTGTACAAACACCAAAAAGTATTCGGCCATGGGTGATAAATACAGGCAGAATTGGCGGTAGAGGCTTCAGGAAAGCAGTTAACAACAAGTGAAGAACTGTCACTTTTTTGTGTCTCCTGTACGTGTCATGAACTGCCATAGGGACACTGAATTTACTCCATTAGAGAGTCTTGTATTAACTAAGGATCTGCACAGCAAAATATTATTTTGCTATCTATCATTGAACTACTTTGCTATATATTAGCAATCAATTCACCTCTTTATATTCTTTACAACAGGAAGAAATCATCCTAGGTGCAAGAGCTGGTTTTGTTGTCTTAGTGCTAATGACCAATTACCATATAGATGTGAGATTTTCCAATAGGCTGACTGTCAAAGTTGGACTAATCATTTCTAGTACAGGAGGAAACAAGAATCTACTCCATTGCTTTTATATACTACGAAGTGTTATAGTCATCATAAAAAGAAGAATTCTAGTGTAGCGGCTCTCACCACATCTGAAGCCAGGACAGGCTGATGTGACACACTGTGACATATACCAAGAATCAAAAGAACTGTTCCCTCTCAATGGGAACAGCTCCTGCTCAGCTTGACACACATTCTTTAAAGCTCATTCTCTAAAATTGTTGCTCTTCTACAACAAAACGCAGTATGAGAAAAATATCACCTTTTCCTGGGATGAACTCCCTCTGAAGGACTTCCCTGAGACTGCTATTCCCATGTAGCAGTCTGTGAGTTGGTAAGACATATAAATGGGAAGCTCCATAAATGGCTTCAGGCGTATAGGTGTAAGCTGCTAGCTTCTCTCCTGTTACTTTACCATTAACCTGAAAAAGAGAAAAAAAATTCCCACTGGAAGTGCAGTGTTCTTAGATCCCTCTTCCTTCTTATGCAACTAATGAGTCTACATCATCCTGCAGAAATACACAGTTCCTAATATCAAAGGCAGACACATTCCCACTATAGGACTTCTCTGGAATCAAACCTTGACAAAACTTACTTTCAAGGTCTTGAGAAAGGTGTTTTACAGTCTTGCCTCAGTTTATCCAAATATAGGTATAAAAATATAATACTAAAATCATGTGCAATATTACATTGTGCTACTGAGCTAGATTCAATCCCTGGCTAAGCAACCTGGAATCCTATTCCCTTTTAATATGCATGCCCTGTTTCCAAAGAAACAGAAATGAGATGTCACCTCTGGAATCTAATGAGAATTTAAGATTTTCTTAGCTACCATATGGCTTTCCACCATACATCTCTGATAAAGTCAATGCTGTGACTTATGTACAGAACTAAAATAATACAAGGTGACACAACATTAAAATAACTGGACATAAAATATGAGCAATAAAGTTCAAAACCAGCTTCAGAATTATCACCTGAAACTACCAACAGGATTTATATCTTAGGTCAACTAACTGTGGAGTGTATGGGGGTCTTAGAAATAGATTTTTCTGTTATAAGTATTGATACACATATTCAGAAAGAATTGATAAAACAACTTCAATTCAAAAAAATGTGTCTTCTAACAGGGTGAAAATCATAGGTATTGAGAAGGTTTAAACTGTCTCAATTTGAAGTTCCCAAAAATTCAGTACTTCAAAATAAGAAGTCACTTTTTTAAATGTTAGACCAGAGTAAATAAGCACAATAAATCTTTTAGGCATGAGGGCTGAAATTTGACCAGGATCTCTGATAATCTCTTCTGTCACTGTCATATTCATGAAGACTTTTGCATCTCTTGAAAAAAATGGGAAAATCTTAAGTCCTTTTGCAGATAATTATAATTTTCTTCAGGTTTCTTTTTTCTTCATCTGCTCTCTTTCTATCTAGACTTCTCCTAGCTCCACTACTACCTAATGGTGTGGTTTCCATTATTTTAATTATCGTATATAGTAAATGAAATTATGGACAAATGTAAGCAAAGTGGCTTGCTTGCCTGGCTCTGACAGAGAAGGTGTCATGCAGAGAGGAGTGAAAGCCCAACTAGATACCAGCTGACTTGTGCAGTGCCACTTGATATTGGTCTTGGCATTGCTCCCCTAAGCGTCCTGGCTTTCCGGAATGCTTATTAGTTGGCATGTATTTTGGTATAAACACACACAGCCAATTTGCATCCACTTGAACACACAAACCCTTTCCTAAGAAGGATAGCAGGGAGTATCTCTTCAACCCAAAAGTGCTGTTCTTCAGAAATCTGTGCTTGACTGGGCATGAATATAATAATAATCTCTTTCAGTAGGTTTCAAGCTTTTGAGATCTGAAAATCCATTTCCATCATGCATTTCAGGGGTTGCAGTCAGCACAAACAGATAGCATCATTTGAAATTTCTGGCTCACCTTTAGCAAGAAGTCAAGAAAGCAACCAGTGCAGTCACCTATCCAATTTGCTTGCATTTCTTTAATACCATACCACTCAGGGAGATTGGACAAAGCATCAAACATAGCCTGAACCAATAAAAGAAAGAATTAGGACATTCAGCTTTTATAAACATACAAATTAATACTATGGGTTTAATTATAACTAACAGCAAAATGGGAAGGTGCTGATAAAAACAATGCAAGAGGTGGTTTTATAGCACAGCTGCCACAAATTCATCTCTGAGAACAGAATTAACACGGCACAAGCCAGAGGTATGTTGTCACCAACAGAGATCCTGTTGTTACTAAATGTGGCCTCCCTTTCAAATGGACTAAACCTTAAAAAATACAGAACAAAACCCTTAGATGAAAATAAACACGGAAAATATTCCCAATGGATGTAACTTGCAGGAAGTGTAAGTGACCTAATGAGCTGAACAAGACTACAGATACGTAAGAGATGTGCTTGCAGATATGAAGCCTACGTTTGAATTAGTTGTTCTAGACAATAACCTGGAGGTGGCAGTCAGACAAAAGGTGTTTACATGTCCTAAAATTTTCAAGCTCTGACTTAAAATGCCAAAATAGTTTCCAGCTGCCCAGGTAGTTTTCATATATCACATTGATATCTTACCAAGCACAATAGCCTAAAAATGATTGGGATCTTTAGGTCATATCATCCTGTAAAAACAACACAAATCATTATAACGAAGGTTCATCTTAAACTCTCTATATAAGATATATATATAATTATTATAAGCAACCAGCAATGAAGCTGGGTCTAGAGAGGTCAAGGGTCTGGAGCACAAGTCTTAGGAGGAGAGGCTGAGGGAACTGGGGTTGTTTAACCTGGAGAAAAGGAGGCTCAAGGGGGACCTTACTGCTCTCTGTAACTACCTGAAAGGAGGTTGCAGCCAGGTGGGGGTTGGTCCCTTCTCCCATATAACAAGTGACAGAACCAGAGGAAAAGGCCTCAAGTTGCACCAGAGGAGGTTTAGATTGGGTATTAGGAAAATTTTTTTCACAGAAAGGGTTGTAAAACATAGTAACAGGCTGCCCAGGGAAGTGCTTCGGTCACCATCTCTGGAGGTTTTTAAAAGACACATAGACATGGTGCTTAGGGACAGGATTTAGTGATGGACTTGGCAGTGCTGGGTTAATGGTTGGACTTCAGGAACTCAAAGGTCTTCTCCAACCTAAATCCTTCTATATTATGCAGTAGAGAAGAAATTAAGTGTTGTCTCCTTTGCTAGCCATAATATGTGGCATGGAAGCCACACATCAGAAATTAGTTACTATTTCAAGTCAACTAATATTTGTCTGAACAATTTGAACAGTAAAATTTTAATAAATGAAAACTATAAGAAAGTAAAGAAGATAAAGGGACAGATAACTCGAAGCTTATCTCATTTTTCACTTCATAACACTTCACATTTTTGTTATGAATACTCCATGACTGTCCAGAATCTTTACTTTGGCAGAAGTACAGCCAGAGGCATGAGTCACTTGGACAGATGGTGAATATGCTGAACAATTACAGTAAAAATCTAAGAATAAGGCAACATGTTGAATAATTTCTCCTTCAGCTGTGAATCCCAACACCAAATGTGCAAGCTTTTTATTATCTCATAAATTGCTAACAACTTTCAAGGATGGACAGCAGCTACTATGTGCTGGTCACACTAAACAGTAGGCAGTTAGGTGATTAGTGAATACACAATTCATTCTTTCTCAGGAAGGTGTTTCAGGTTGTATTTTAACAACATGCTTAATCTCAAAGTGAGAGACATAAAAGGTACTGTAAGAATTACTTTCTAGTTACTGCTCTGTTGTGTATCTATCATTCAAAATACAACAAAAGGCATGTCCTTCTTAAACTACAACATTACACCACCAATTGGGATTATCATCCCTTTTTATATCTTTGAGAGTCAAACTAATTTACTGATGATTTATAAATAAAAGAATGGTAGGGGTTTGGAAGATCTTTTATCATACTGCAACTTTAATCAGTTTTAGCTCACAATTGCAAGCCTACTATAACACAGATAATTCCAAGTTCATAATATTCTCATTAACTGCAGTGTTCCAGAGACTACTGAGCTTTATCTGCCATGAACAATCCATGCACACATCTACCTACCAAAATATAACGAATAACTGGAGATACAGATAGATACATACATACACAACACTTGTACACACTCTTTGTAAGAATTTTCTGCATTTTAGAGGGAATGAAATTATGCTAATACTCACAGAACTAGCTGGACATATCAGTACAATTTTATAAATTCTCTTGCTTGGATATCCATTCTAATCTACACTTACATTTTGCTGGCAGAAGCAGCTAGATGTGCATGTGCTCTACTGAAACTGTACAGCCTGTAATTGTCTGCCAGTAAAACTTTCTAGACATTTTTTCACTGTAGGATTAATAAACCAAGATCGTCAATACCAGTGTGATAATAATTTTAGTCTAATTCATTTTCCTTATTAGGAACTATAGACTACAGTTTGACTTAGCCCAGTTCTTCTCTTGATAATGCAATTGCTTCATGCAGCTACATACAAGAGCCAACTTTACTTCACCTGAATGAAGATAACTAGACTTATTCAGCATGATGAGCATAGCAGGGTTTGCAAACACAAACCCTTCACATCTTAATTTGCACATAAACAGTAGGATTGTTTGATACAAAGAAACCCACAAACAAACCAACAAACTTTAAATTTTTTTTTCAAGGTGGAATTATGATTCTCAGTTCTCTGTACTCAACACACTGGTTTCTTGTCAAGGCTACAAACAGCAGGTGAAGCAGAAAATGAACAACATGTAAACCACAAATGCTTTACCTAGTGTTAGAGAGGCAAGAAATATAGAGTATGCACATTTTTAGCATGTTAAGAACTGTTTCTGAATGGTGAATTAACCTGGGATACTCACTAGCAGAAAAACATTTATTCTTACAAATATGAATGCACTTGTACATTCAAAATTTATCCATGCAAATTAGGAGCTTTTAAAAAACAGCTTAAGGGAAACCCTTTAAAAGAACTTCTCTCTTTCAAATCCAATCACACAACACCTTGCAAAAATATAAACCCATAAATACATGCTAAAACTATCATTAACTTTAAAGGGTTACATGTACACTGCTTGGGTATATGAAACTCTTGACCAATGCTAGCATAGAAATTCATGAATATTATAAGCTAGTGTTGGGAAAGTTAAATATTAACTCCATGTATTTTGCTTCCATGTTCTTTTTTAAAATCACTGCCACGTTTCGTAGAACATCTTCTGAATCATTAGTCTCATGAGTTCTGCTCCAATTATATTGCAATTACTGATATGTTTCCTTAAACAAAATTCTGACCCTTAAAGATGTGTATATAACTCCTAGTCATCTGTGCCACTAGTTTGTTAACTAGGTTTGTTAACACAGAGAAGACAATCAGCAAGAAGATTCTCAGCACATGGGCAAACAAACAAAAATAAAACCATGTTGGAGTCTGCAGGGGACAAAGAACAACAGCAGTAGTCCGATCCAGTAAGAAAAGAGGGATAAGATTATCCAATAAACTCAATTTTCAAACTTCTGATGATGGCTTAATAGTGAGAGATTTGGAAACATTAGGTAGCAGAGTCCTTCTGCTCTTGTTTATCATTGCTTGGGAAGAGACAACAAACTTCAAATGCAAACGTCTAATTACAGGAGAAATTATTCCCATCTTAATTAAACACAGGTTAAGGAATAGCATAAATACATTTTGGCAGTCTTTCAGATCTAAAGATAGACAGACTCAGGAAAAAGCTAAAGAAATCAAAGCAGTGTTCAGGGATGAGAATGACTTCACAGCTCTTACACCTGGAGAAGTTGAAGATTCAGGATAAACTAATGTTTTACAGGACTACTTTACTCTCTCAGAACATCTAGAAAATTCTGGCATAGCTAGAAGATGAAAGTCAACCAGCTCAGATGATCACAGAGTCACAAAATCAAGATGGATTTGTGAAAATTCATCACAGAAAATGATGACCAAGTCTGAAACTAGAAGTAAAGCATTTGTGAGTGGAAAACTGATCTCTCATAACTGGTTGTTTAGTCTGAAGATCCTGACAGAAACAGACCTTCAGTTTAGCAATCTCCAGGCAAAAAAGGTCCATAAAATCCAAGCATTTAAGTCCTTTACAATTTCCCAAGAGCATCTCCACTCCAAAAGTCAGGCTGCTTGTAGTTCAAAGAGGGAGGATTCTGCTGAGCACCTAAACAACTCAATCTCTGAACTAAAATTTTTAGTAGATCAATACCTGCTACTAGTTTCATACTTAGTGAGATTATTTCAACTCCTCTATGACAGCAATGGAGAAAAAAAGCAATTATGAAATACAGTGAAAAATCTAAATATAAGCTATAAAGACAAATATATACTCTTTTTGATGAAGACACCTTCATAAAGTTTGACACATTTGCAACATAACAAGACTAAAATAAATCGGTTAGCAAACCATTGCATTTCAGAAGAATTCAATTCATTAGCAAAATAACATTGTATTCTACTAAATTAAAATAAAATTTACAAGCTTTGCTTCTGGGGAAGAGTCAAATAAATATCCAAGCTCTGTTTGGATAAAAATGAAATTCTTCACTTTATTTGATCAAGCTCCCAGAAGAGTAAACAAACATAAACTAATGATTACATGAAATCATTAAATACAACTTAATATATTAACTAAAGTACAGGAAATTAAAGTTAGGCTGCCCACTGTTTTATTTTGCACTCTCTTGCACAGTTCCAACTGTGATTATGCAGTGCAGCGTCTGCTGGTATTTAATCTCTTCTTGGTTTTGGTTTGTTTGGTTTTTTTCTCCAGTAGTTTCTGCCTGTACTATTGTAGGTCACTCTTGACTTTTATTTCCCATGCGTCAAGAATACTGAAAACATCCATTAAAAAGAAGCAATAACACAGATACTGTGTATACTTCAAATTCTTTCTCATAAATGTCTGAACTGTCAGCAGTTTTTCCATTTCTTTACCGTACAATTTATAGCCAACAAACACCTCTGGTTTGATCACGTAG